AGTAGCCGGAATTACAGGCGCGTGCTACCACGCCCGGCTAATTTTTTTTTTTATTTTATTGTAGAGATGAGGTCTCGCCTGCCCAGGCAGGTCTCGAACCCGCGGGCTCAAGCAATCCACTCACCTCAGCCTCCCAAAGGCGCGGGATTACAGGCTGAGCCACTGAGCCCGGCTGTATCTACTCTTGAGAAATGTCTGTTCCAATCCTTTGCCCATTTTTTATTTGGGTTATCATTTTATTGAGTTGTAATAGTTCTTTATATACTCTAGATACACATTAGTATAGTTTTCTGGATCTTTTCATATCTCATCAAATAAATGCACAGAGCAACCAGAACTGCAAAACCAAAACCCTTTAAAAGTACCTACAACAAAAACTAGGTGACAAAGTATCCCTACAAACCTCAAAACATAAATGGGTAAACAAATCACTGTGACAACTACAAATTCTTGCTTAGTATCAACTCTGTACAAAAGGAAAAGAAGGAAACAACAGGGTTTATAATGGACTTAAAAACTCCAGAATAACCAATTTGAAAACAGCTAAAACCAGAAGGGGTTTGCACACTTCAAAACAAAGAGTATAAAAGGTCTCGGACAAAGTACACAGGGATTGCAGCAAACTAGGACCAACCTAAAGTTCCCCCAAGGAAAATGGACAACACTGAAGAAAAACTGCTGATAAGAAAATCCAAACTAAGCAGGACAATAGTAAAGATAAAGAAATATAAGAGAAAGGAAAAACAAATCTCAAAGTTAAGAAGCCATTTTTCTCATATTTCACAAAAACTAAAGAGGGTACACTCTGGAGTAGTGAAATAGTAATAACTCTTAAACCACAATTCCCTTCTAAAGGTTCAGGAATACTTATTCCACCTAAAAATGAGTCAAATAGGCAAATCCACAGAGGAACAAAGTATACCCGGAGTTGCCTAAGAAATGAAGAGAAATGGAGGATAACTGCTAATGAGTACAAGGTTTCTTTCTGGGGTGATAAAAAACATTCTACAATTAGGTTCTAGAATCACAAGGTTGCACAACTTTGTAAACATACAAAAAAAAAAAAACACCACTGTGAATTATATGTCAATAAAAAATGATACAGAAAGTGAAAGAACAACAAATCAAAATTTGATAAACTTAGGAAATAATTAGAAAAGGACAAATGTCAAAAAAGAAAACCAAGCAGGAAGTACACAAGACAAATCCAACAGATAATACCATGAAGAACTGGACCAAAAAATAGAAAATACAGAAGATAGGCGAGGAAAATCCAACATAATTATATAGGTGCTCCCAAAGAAGAAAAACTAGCAGGAATTTTCTCCTGCTAGGAGAATAGAACTACAAAATATAATTCAAGAAAATTTAATTAACTTTTTGAGTTGCAGTTTCACTCTGTTGCCCAGTCTGGAGTACAATGGCACGCTCACAGCTACTGCAGCCTTGACCTGCTAGGCTCAGGAGATCCTTCTACCTCAGCCTTCAAGTGGCAAAAATACAAGCACGTGACACCACACCCAGCTAATTTTTTTATTTATTGTAGAGACAAGGTCTTGCCAAGTTGCCCAAGCCAGCCTCAAACCCCTGGGGCTCAAGCAATCTGCTTGCCTCCACCTCCCAAAGTGCTGAGATTAAAGGCATAAGTCACCACAACCAGCACTAAATTTAACTTTTTTAAGTTTATAAAACTATATATTGAAAAGGTTCAACATGTACCTGGAGGAAAACGATACAAAACAATCAACACCAAAAAAATTACTGGACTTTGGAGAAAAAAAAAATTGGGCATCTAAGCAAAAAGAGTAACAAATAACTAAAAGATAGTATTATTGCCACACTTTCAACAGCAATACTATGTACCAAAAGAAAGTGGATTACTCCATTTAAGATATTCAAGGAAAGAAAACATGAGCTAAGGATATTCTATCCAGCTAATGTGATGTTTAATTATAAACATGGCAGATAAACTCATCAACATGTAAGAACTTAAGGATCACTATTCACATGTGCTGTTCCCTTAGGAATCTATAGGAAAATGCCCTTCCAATAATCAAAATGACGAAGAGACACTGACACGTAGCTAGTGGTAATGCACTGTGATGATGACATCAAAAACTGAAAATAAGTGCCAACAAGGATGTGAAGAAACTGGAACACTAATACACTGCTGGTGGGAATGCAAAATAGTGTAATCACTGAAGAAAATAGTTTGAGGTTTCTTCAAAATTTAAACACAGAATTGCCACAAGTGACAGCTATTCCACTCCTAAGTATATACCCAAAGAACTGAAAACAGATACTCAAATATTTGTTCATAGCACTATTCACAATAGCTAACAGGTGGAAACAACCCAAATGTCCATCAACAAATAAATGGATAAATAAAATGTGGTACATCATACAATGAAATGTTATTTGTCCAAAAAAGCAGTGGAATACTAATACATGCTACAATGTGAATGAACCTCAAAAACATTATGCTCAGTGGAAGAAGTCAAAAGAAAAAGAAGTCACATATTATGATTCTATTCATATGAATGCCCGGAAAAGGTAAATCCACAGAAACAGAAAACAGATCGGTGATTGCCAGTGGCCAGAGGTAAGAGGAAATGAGAAATAACTGCTTAACGGGTATACGTTTTATTGAGAATAATGAAAATGCTTTTCCAATAGACAGAGGTGACCAGAGGTACAACACTGAATGTACTAAATGCCACTGAATTTGTTCACTTTAAGATAGTTAACGTTATGATATGTAAATTTCACCCCAAGTTTTTTTTTTAATGAAGAAAAGGTTATTAGAAGAAACACTGTAATGTCAGAAATAATCTGGTTTCATTAATTTTTTTTTAATTTAAAAGACAGCATAAAAGAACAAATGAAGGCTATAAAATAGAACCTATTAACAGCTATGTGCTCTGACAACGTAGACACAAAATTTATTTAAAAATGCATTTCCAGCTGAGCTCGGTGGCTCAGGCTGTAATCCCGCACCTTACGGAGGCTGAGGTGAGTGGATTGCCTGAGCCCGCAGGTTCGAGACCCACCTGGGCAGCGAGACCTCATCTCCACAATAAATAAAAAAATTAGCCAGGCGTGGTAGCGTATGCCTGTAATTACGGCTACTCAGAAGGCTGAGGTGGAAGGATTGCCGGAGCCCAGCAGGCGAGGCTGCGGTGGCTGGGAGTGGCCACTGCACTCCAGTCTGGGCGACCGAGTGAGACTCCAACTCAAAAAAAAAAAAAAATGCATTTCCATTAGCTACAAGTCAGGCAAATTAAGTTTTTAAAAACACTTAAATAACAAATTATCTACTCATTTCTTATAAAACATATAACAGGCCAGGAATCCCAGCATTTGAGAAGCCAATATGGGAGGACTGTTTGAGCTCAGGAGTTCAAGACCAGCCTAGGCAATATAGTGAGACTTTGCATCTACAAAAAATATATTAGAAATTTTAAAAATTAGCTGAGCATGGTGGTGCGCACCTAGTCCCAGCTATCCAGGAAGCTTAGGCAGAAGGATCACCTGAGCCCAGGAGTTCAAGGCTGCAGTGAGGCAGGATAATGCCACTGCACTCCAACCAAGGCAAGAATGAGACTCAAACTCGCATGCACAAGTAACATTTCACCAACAATTACTGAAACAAGCCGGGCTCAGTGGCTCAGCCTGTAATCCCGCTCCTTTGGGAGGCTGAGGTGAGTGGATTGCCGCGGGTTCGAGACCCGCTTGGGTAACTTGGCAAGACCTCATCTCTACAATAAATCAAAAAATTAGCTGGGCGTGGTAGCGCGCGCCTGTAGTTCCATCTACTCGGAAGCCTGAGGCGGAAGGATCGCCAGAACCCAGCAGGTGGAGGCTGCAGTGGCCGGGAGCAGCCACTGTACTCCAGTGTGGGTGACAGAGTGAGACTCCAACTCAAAAAAAAATACGCTTTGGGAGGAGGTGAGGTAAATAAACAAATAAACAAACAAATAAATAAATAACAATTACTGAAACACATATTGGCCTAACTCCAAACTCCATGGAATACATAAATACACAGGAGGGGAAAAAAGCATGCTGCTTAATAAAAGTGAATGCTATCACTTGCAAGTAGTGGGAGAAGGTGACTATAAATTTAGATACAAGGCAACAATAAATGCCATCTCAATCCTTTTTTGACAGGATCTCACTCTGTCACCCAGGCTGGAGTGCAGTGGCACAATCCTGGCTCACTGCGGCCTCGATCTCCTGGGTTCAAGCAATCTTTCTGCCTCCAGAGTACCTGGGAATATAGGCACACACCACCACACCCAGCTATTTTTTTTTCCCCAGAAACGAGGTCTCACTATCTTGCCCAGGATGGTCTCAAATGATTCTTCTACCTCAGCCTCCCAAAGTGCTGAGATTACAGACATGAGTAACTGTAGCTTGTCCATCTCAACCTTTTAAGGATAGCTTAGGTACACTTCTACTAACAAGCCATCAGTCTTGTACGAATTCTAATAGAGTTCACTGCCAAAAAAAAGGATATCCCACTCCCAACATCCAAGCAACTCAACCAAGCAACAATAACACTCTGGGTGCTTCTGAAGATTGCCCTGAAATGTCAATTACCCAAAATTTTTACAGCACTACACAAAAAGAGCTGTTACCTCCAAGTGAACCTGAACCACTCAAAAAGAACAATTTCTTAATCACTGGGTAAATTAAATTGAATTTACGCACTAAATCACTTTGCCCTGATTTTATGGAAACTAATAACTAATGTATAACAATGCATAAGTAAAAAACTATCAACCTGCTGAAATATTCAATTAATCAGAACTGAAACATTAGTCTACATTATTAAAACAATCAAACCCAACCTTTACCTTAAAAGTAAGGTAGTGAATGGCATCTAATTTTTACCCATAAAACTGAAATTATCTTATAGAAATCATAATTTCAACAATTAGCTAATATAAGTAACAATTCACTTTAACATAAAATAGTAATAGTTACCTATTCATAGTTCCAGATACATCAACATCATTCATAAAACATTCAATGCTCAAAGGGAGGTCTGAAGCATTTGCACTCATCAATTTCTTGAGTTTTTCACACTCCTGAGAGAGTCGTAATAATGCACGGATTTTGGACTTTATGTCTAGCTTGTATTTCTTCCCAAATTCTTCACAGAAGTGACTTACTAACACTTCATCAAATTTCCTGCCTCCCAATGTTGTATCAAATGCAGTGGCCAGAATCTTAAAAAAAAAAGATAGTAATTAACCTAGCAAATATTAAGCAATCAATTTTAAAATTTATCATGATATACATCTAACTACTTAGTTGTTTATAAAAAGAGATGGGGGTTACGTTAAGGTTCAAATAAGTCAATGTGCACATGTCATGCAGACCTTGTTACAACTACACTGTGAAAATACGCTATCATCCCCAATTTACAGAAAATGCTACAAGCCTAGACATATGAGATAACCTGCAGGTCACAAAGCCACTAAGTGGTAGAAGTGGAATTCAAAGCCAAATCACCGTAATTCCAAAATCCATGCCCTCTCCACTATACCAATTTGACTCGCAGTAGCAATTACATGGCCAAGGCCAAATACACTAACATGTCATATATACATACTTCTAGTCTTACCACTATCACAAAACTGTGAATAATAAATACCCAAGGCTGAGCTCTATGCAGATTACTGCCAGAAGGATGCTAAAGCCATAACTCATATCAATTTGTTTCTCTTTAACACAGAAAACTACTTAACTCAGGTTATCTGTTTTCCAAATCTCTAGCAGATTAGAAGCAAACTAGATCTAATTAGATTCAATAATAGAAGATATGCTAAATAAGTGATGACATCCTTGTGAAGGAATAAAACCAGTAAAATAATCTCTTAAAGGGCACTAAATGTCACGGGCAAATGTTCTTAGTATGCTAACGGGAAGGAAAGAAAAAATAGTACACAGAACTAACTACAGTATGACTCCAAATTTTGTTTTCTTAAAAAACGGACTGAAATACATCAAACTGTTAAAAAAAAATTTAAAAAAAAAAAAAGGTAAGAATATAAATAATGACTTTTCTTTACACATAAATGTTTTTCCAAGTTTGGAGGATGTTTTTATAATAAATATTTTTATAATTAAATTTAAAAAGCAATCAAAAGGATTGGAAACCTGACAGGTGACAGTTGACAGAAAAGAACAATTCAGAAAAACAAAAGCAGATGGTCACTAATACACATCACTCTCATTCAAAGCCAGGCTAAATTATGACCAGAACCCTCTGCTTAAAAAAATGAAAGTATAGGATGGGCGTAGTGGTGCACACCTGTAGTCCCAGCTACTTGGGAGGTTAAGGCAGAAGGATCACCTGAGCCCGGGAAGTTGAGACTGCAATGAGGTGTGATCATGCCACTGGATTACAGCCCCCTGGGTCACAGAGTAAGACCCCAACTCAAAAAAAAAAAGTTTTAAATATGGAATGGTTCTTAGAAATAATTCTATTAGTGATTAAAATTTATAAACACTGAGAGTCACATTGTATCCACCATTTATAGCAGGAAAAAAAAAAATCACAACCCAGTACTGTTGCTCACACCTATAATCCCAGTACTTTGGGGCAGCTGAATCAAGAGAATTGCTTGAAGCCAGCAGTTCAGGAACAGAATGGGCAAAATAGTGAGACTTCAGTCTCTTAAAAAAAGAAAATAAAATCACAAACCTCTAGTTTCCTAATTATCTGAAAATTTTGCTTTCTTTAAAAGAGAAAAAAATAAACTAAAAACAATTATTAACCAGAAAGTGGAACCAAGCTGATTTTTCAAAGAAACAAAAGACTGCAACAAAGTCTCAAAATGCCCTTTCAAAGTACCAAATATTTATTTTGGGATAGTCTCTCCCCACCAATCTCCATTTGGGGGAGAGTGGCAGTTTAGTCCCTGAAACCAAAAACTCTGATATACAATTCAAATAATTAAAGCAAACACTTGGAAAATTCTTGGTTTTTAAAGAAAAATCTAGATAAAATCATCTAGCTACACACGGAACTGATTTCATACCCTACTGTAGAACTACTAGTATATACCAGCCAACTCAACTGTGAAATATCACCCTCTGGCCACTCCTTGCCTTCTATTCTTCTGTGTGTATAAAACTGCTTAACCTGTAAGTTTTCTAGAAATCCAGAATGATACTTCTATTTAGTTTCTTTTGACATTCATGTTCTAGTTCCTCCACCCCTTTTCCAGGACACTCAAAACCTTAAGAGCTAGGGAACAGAGTGCCTGTACTACCCCCCTCACTCCCCAGTATAAAATACAGCAAGTGACTACATGTTTTAAAATCTGCAAGGTAAGCAGATTTATTATTTCTCCCATATTATAGATGATATCTTAAGAACTTTTCCTCGAGGTCTATATGCTTTGCTTCACACCATGCCAATTCTTGATAAATTATTTTGGGCCTGTACCTCCACCCCTACAAATACCTAGTTTCCAGTTCAGATAGCTCATAGCAAGCTTTGTTTCATTAGTGAAACAAAATTCTTTAACCATTTAATTTGTCACTCAAAAAAATCACAATTACCATCCTAGTAAAATTGAAACAAATATACTTACTTTCAGTTTTCCTCTATTAAATGCACATACAGAAACTTGATAAGCAGAATGGCCCATGTCTACAAAAACTACATTTCTTGGTTTCTCTTCTAAGGCAGGAAGATCTTGCTTATAGATTCCATACGCAAGAGCAACTACACAACGAAAAAAGTAAATTCAACATAACAGTATCAACTAAGTAACTAAGTAGTAAATAAAAGTAGCAAGAAAAAACAAGTTTTCTATAAAGTGAATAGGACTGCATCATGTGTTCTGTTTCAGACAGAATCAAACTCTTTTTTTTTTTTTTTTTTTTTGAGTTGGAGTTTCACTCCGTCGCCCAGACTGGAGTGCAGTGGCCGCTCCCGGCCACCGCAGCCTCGACCCGCTGGGCTCCGGCGATCCTTCCGCCTCAGCCTTCCGAGTAACCGGAATTACAGGCACGTGCTACCACGCCCGGCTGATTTTTGACTTATTGTAGAGATGAGGTCTCACCAAGTTGCCCAGGTGGGTCTCGAACCCGCGGGCTCAGGCAGTTCACTCACCTCAGTCTCCCAAAAGCACGGGATTACAGGCTGAGCCACTGCGCCCAGCTAAAATCAAATTCTTTGTAAGTATTACATAACTTATTCAAGAACAACACAGAGTCAAATGCTGACATTCACTTAGACTTCCTTAGTTTCCAGCGGGCTATGGCAATTTTCCTCAAGCCAATTCCTCCACTTCCCAAACATATTTTCCTAAATTTCTTCTACCCTTGTGCCATGTTAACACTCCCATGTGTTCCGTCCATAAGATGCTGCTTTATGCTACATTCCTCTGACTTCATCAGTCGATAAGTATCAACTAAGTAGTTGACCAATCTTGAAACCAAAACACTGCTCCACACATATACATATATGTTCAGGCATGTGATTAAACATGGAAGTGCATGTTAAAAGGGTACACAAAAAGTACTGGTCAGATTAATTCTTCATATGTGAAGCAGTACCCAAAAACACTATGATACACAGGTGGTAAGCAAGGATAGCAGTGCTCCAAGCTAAATAAAGAGCAAGAAACCCCAGGGTTTTAAATTTTCACAACCAGCTGGGCACAGAGGCTCATGCCTATAATCCCAATACTTTGGGAGGTGGAGGCAAGAGGATTGTCTGAGTCCAGCGGTTCAAGACTGGCCTGGGCAACTTGGCGAGACCTTGTCTCTACAATAAATCAAATAATTAGCCAGGTATGGTGGTGCACATCTGTAGTTCCAGCTATTTGGAAAGCTGAGGCAGAAGGATTGAATGAACTCAGCAGGTCAAGGCTGTGGTGGCCATAAGCATGCCAACTGTACTCCAGCCTGGGTGACAGAGTGAGACTCCAACTCAAAAAAAATTAATAAATAAATTTTCACAACCTTCAAGATTAAGCAAGTCAAAAAAGTAACAAATAGTCCTTCTTACCGGCAGTAGTTTCATTCATTAATCGCAGGCAATTGAGACCAGCAATCTGTGTTGCATCCATCACCGATCGTCTTTCTGCATCAGTATAGAAACAAGGAACCTACAAAAAAAATGTGAACATTTACTGTACTACAGAGTTCTCATTTTAGTAAAATCCAGAAATATCCTCAAATATCTTCAGAAATTTATTCTGTATACAGGATAAATTTAAAAATTTACTCTGTACTTTCTGTTTCAAAATACTTCAACCTAGCAGGGAAAAGTTAGAATATTCAGTAAGTAGTGTTGGGATAAATAGATAGCCAAATATTACATTGCAGACTACATACAATAACAATCTAAAGTAGTGACTGTACAGAAAAGAGTAAGAGCCCAGAAACTGTTATCCTTAGAAAAGGCCTGCTTGCATGTTGGCCCATGCCTTGCATCTAATAACCTGACTGACATTAGGAACTTGATTGTTAAACAGTTTAGGCTCAATGTGCCTAAACTGTTGGTTTAAATAATGTAGTTTGTGTTTTCCTTCTGGGAGTCTCGAATTTTGGTGCATGTTAGGTATATAGGATACCTATATGACTGATTCTCAATAAAAACTCTGGACTTCTAGACTCAGGCAGAACTTCTCTGATGGAAAACATTTCATATGTATCATTACAAGTTGCTGCTGGAAGAATTAGGAGCATCCTGTCTGACTCAAGCTTGTCCCTGATCTCCTTCACACAGTGCCCCATGTACCTTTTCTTTTGTTGATTTTGTTTTATATCCTTCCACTACAATAAGTCTTACCATGAGTATAGCTATATACTGGGTTCCATGAATATCCTCAGCAAATCAACAAAACGCAGTGTTTGTGGCCTTGAGAATTGCCCAAGCATAACTTAACATATCACTTTTTTAAAATGTTTTTATTTATTTTTTGAGTTGAAGTCTCACTCTGTCACCCAGGTTGGAATGCAATGGCACACTCACGGCCACTGCAGCCTCCACCTGCTGGGTTCAGGCGATCCTTCCTCCTCGGCCTTCCAAGTAGCTGAACTGCGGCACATACCACCACACTCGACTAATTTATTTTATTTATTGTAGAGATGAGGTCTTGCCAAGTTACCCAGGCTGGTCTCGAACCCATGGGCTCAGGCAATTCTCTCACCTCGACCTCCCAAAATGCTGGGATTATAAGCATAAGCCACGGTGCCCAGCCTAACACACCACCTTTTAACTTGATCCCCAAAACTGGAAAAGCAGCTCAGGCATTCCACTGTTTCACATAAATTTTACTCCTTAATTCAGGAAAAGGCACTGGGCAGGAATGGGGACAAATTTGGGAGACCAAGGGAACTGAGGAAAGGTAGAAAGCTTCTAAGAAATACAGTGCCTGAGGAGGTACACTTCTTCAACAAGGGTACCTGATCTCAGACCAGGTGACGTGGGGACCAAGGTGAGGCCCAAACTTTACCTGTACAATGACCATTTGTATATCTAACACTGAATTATACACATCTTTAAAGTAAAAATTAAAAAAAAAAAAAAAAGTAGCACAGTGCCTACTGTATTAGCCACTGGGGAATCATGGTCATTGAATCTGAACTTTTTAAAAGGAACATGGCATTTTTATTCTTCTTTAAATCTCCAGGATGTGGCACACTGCTATAATCCAAGCCTTCCTGACAAATGTCAGTCTACTGGACAACAGACTCTGAAGTGAAAAAGTTACCTAACAGTCCTTGCTTTGCCAATCAATGCACCAACATTAAGACGAAAGAGGCCACAGAACAAAAGAATCAGATAACAACTGCAGAATGAGAAGACACAGTGGTAAAGCCAATATAGCCACACATATTTCAACAGACCCTAAGAACTCCATCATACTACAAGCACAAAGCTAGAAGTAGCCAGGCTTCCATCTAAACAAGGATATGGGAAAGACAAGATGAAGCCTACAGCTGCCTTGTCTTTAATGCTAGATACAGACAGCAAATACAAATGGAGAATAAAACAGCCATTTACAACTGGAGGGTATTCAACAAATTCAACAAATGAGTTTTTTTGTTTTTGTTTTTTTTTTGAGTTGGAGTCTCACTCTGTCACCCAGACTGGAGTGCAGTGGC